TAACCAATTACATGCCATTTTTTTTTATTATATCAACCATATGATGACCATCCTGCTCATAGCACGATTCAACTCGGTTTATGAACTCTTGGTGAACCCGCTCCAATAAAGGTATGTCAATCGCCCGGACTTCTTCACGAATTGATTCCTTCAGTTCGTCAAGTGTTCTGGGTTTGTTAACGTAAACACGAGACTTGAGATAACCCCAGAGGAAGAAGTCACACATTGTCAAATCTGGTGACCTCGGAGGCCATGGCACTTCCTCAAAGCGTGAAATCACTCCACATTTTCGAGGGTCCGCGCCATTCTAGCCCGGCAAGGTGATTTTTCTGAGTATATTGTTGCGGCTTGGGATGCTTCACGGCGTTCAATATGAAACTCGCGTCGAAACTCTCGCTGCACGGCCATTTCAAGCGGATGGACGGGACAAATCACAAAACTGTTTTTATAAAAAAAATTGTAGCGAATTTATTATATATTATTTTTGCATCAAAATTGTCAAAAAAATCCTTCTATTATTAGGGTATACATTAAATAAAAAAAATCGCAAGAAATATTTTATAAAAGTAGAGATAATTTCAATAATTGACAGGGATGGACGGGACAAGATAAATCTTTTTTTTGTCCCGTCCACACCTTTCAATTATTAAAATTATATCTACTTTCATAAAATATTTCTTAAGTTTTTTTTTATTTAATGTATAACCTAATAAAAGAAGAATATTTTTGCCAATTTTGATGCCAAAATATTATATAATAAATAATCTACAATTTTTTTTATAAAAACAGTTTTGTAATTCGTGCGTTTCGCGCGCTTGAAATGGCCGTGCACTCTTATAATAGATTCCCCAAATTTTACAAATGCGTCGTACGCGAACATACGATGCCTTACATCGCACTCCATGGTGAACTATACTAAACTGCATATTCAGACGGTTCGAATGGGACCGTTCGAGCGCCCCCTCCATATACGTTCCGAGTACTACCCATTTCAAAATCGTCCGTTTCCTGTGGACCACCCTGTAGAAATATGGTAAAAAAGTTTCAATCGATTTCTTGAACCCTTGCAAATCGACCGTTCGATCCTTTCGCGAAACCGTAGTTAACAAAGTGACAAATATTCTGTACACTAGGGTGAGCCAAAAAAACTAAACTATCGGATTTATGGGTTAAAATGAACCTACATACCGAGCAAAAAATTTCCCTGCAAGGCAAAATTTTTTGCTCAATTTTAAAAGGTGTCGGTGAGCATTCTAAGTTTTCCATTGAAATAACACGTAAAAAAATCTTTTTTCATTAAAAAGACTATAACTTTTGAACCGTTTCAGATAAATTTTTTTACGTCGCGGATTCTTGTAGAACATAAAATTTCCCAAAGAATCTATACCAGGATTATTTTTTTTAATTCAAAAATTCGTATGTTTGAAAGCTTTGAAAAGTGTAAAAAAATCACTAAAACTGCAGTATTAGTGATTTTTTACACTTTTCAAAGCTTTCAAACATACGAATTTTTGAATAAAAAAAATAATCCTGGTATAGATTCTTTGGGAAATTTTATGCTCTACAAGAATCCGCGACGTAAAAAAAATTATCTGAAACGGTTCAAAAGTTATAGTCTTTTTAATGAAAAAAGATTTTTTTACGTGTTATTTCAATGGAAAACTTAGAATGCTCACCGACACCTTTTAAAATTGAGCAAAAAATTTTGCCTTGCAGGGAAATTTTTTGCTCGGTATGTAGGTTAATTTTAACCCATAAATCCGATAGGTTAGTTTTTTTGGATCACCCTACTGTACACCTATATCTTTTTAAAAATTAAAATTAAGATTTTAATGTTAATGTCAATTTTGAAATTTGTCGGGTACAAATGCTAAGAAGTAAGGGTACACCTGTGCAATCTATTTTCCATGTAAAATGCTCAGAGGGCGTACTTGCTGCACCTAATGCGCAGAACATTAATAACTAGACATGAAACTATTCATCAATATGGACAGAGAAAGAATTGTTTATTGCGCGGAGAAGATTGGGTCGCTTTGGCGGAAACATTTAAAGTAAATTATAAAACCGCCTACACCTGGGTAAAATCGGGTTGGGAATTGATGAAAAAAAAAGAGGGAATTAAACCCAAGGCGCTAACAGAAGATCAGTTAGATAGGGTAACATAATGGTTAAAAGAAGACTTTGGTTTGACGCTAAAATAGCTTTAGACTTAAATATTGGCAACGTTTAAATGGTAAATTTGCATATCCAGTATTGGAAATTACCTAGAAGGTAGATTGTTTACCATAAAACAGGCATTATCAGCCTGTAACCATTTTATTTTTATTTTTTTCTGCCGTAGAACAAGAGGTCGTGCCTGAGTTGGTAACAAAGCTATCCAAGTACTGCCAGCATAAAAAGGACCCAAAGTTTATGTAATTGGAGGTATATACAAAAAAAGTACAAAAGTGCTCTTTTTAGTTCCACCCTTACTTCTTAAGAAGTCCCATAAGCCAACTGTGCAGGTATTTTAATTAATGCTGCCAATTCCTGAAGTAATAATCGGTTAACCGGTTCGACAAGTTTTGACCGGTTTCGGTTTTAACCGGATTTTTTAAAATATTATAACCGGTTCGGATATCCGGTCCTATTAACCGGTTAATCAGTCCGATTATCTGGTTAACCGATTTGATCAAACCGAGCCGGACCGGTTAGGCCTGATCGGCGGTTTAACTGTAGCCGTCACCGGTTTAATCGTAGCAAATTCTTTGTTTTTAATAAAAAGGGATCACTTCACTAACCCTTTTACCTTTCTTTACTCGTGACAACCAGGCAGTTCATGCTTGAATTTTTTAAAATAGATACTTACTCAATAAAATGAAATTAGAATAATAAAAATACCACCAATTTTACTAAAAACTAAAAAACAAAAACATAAACATTTATGGTTTTAAAATAAATTATAGTTAAGTGATAAAAAATAACAAAAGTCCCTATCTTTTTATTATTGAGTTTTGATGTAAAAAAATCAAATTTATCAGCATTTTCCGGTAGCAAGCAGTTTCTTTTCGCCGAAACTATGTTACCTGCACTGGAAAACATGAAAAAAACAATAGATTTTCTTATTTCTTTTTGAATGTTTATATTTGTTTGTATTTTTTTAATAAAAATATTTTTGTTTTACTAACTTTTAAATGTTTATGTTTTAAAAACATTAATGTTTATCAATATTGATTTTTTCACTTCGATATGACATCGATATTGTGTTTTCAATATATCATTTGATGTCAATATCGATATTTTAAGAAATTTGCGCATCCCTAGTAAGAGCTCAAACTATGTCTCGTTCACGGTCGCGCTTAAACCGGTTTCACGGTTAAACCAGTAACTGTTAAACCAGTAACTGTTAAACCGGTGACAGCTTTAATCTGTCACGGTTAATCCCATTACGGTTAATCCGATTATGGTTAAACCCCCTGTTGAAGGTCCTGGTCAGGGTGGAAGAAGAAGGTGATATAGCTCCTATCTCTACAGAACAGAAGCAAGCGTCCAGATAAGTCAGTATTTCGTTCGTTGTTCGTTAGATGGCGAGTCAACTAAGAACCTAAGGTTTTACCAACGAAATCCATATATTCTATAACAACTTAACTTTTAACAACAAATTATAAGATAACGAAAACCCAAGGAGAGTCTTCTACCCTCCTTAAGGAAAATTACTTCTTTTCTTACAGCATTATTATAATAATTTGCTGAACGATTATCAATACTGTAGTATTGCCAACTGTTCTGCCAAAAAATTTGATATGGACTGACCCATACTTTACAAATTATCTCTAAAACAAATCATTTTATCAAAATTTTATAAGAGACAAAACATTTTCAACAATAAATGATTACCTGAAAAAATTTCGTTTGGAAGTCATTGGCGCACGTACTAAAAAATAGGGGGAGTCAGTGAGTACTGGACCCCCTATTTTGATTATTTGACAATTGTTTTTTGTTTTGTTGGTCTCAAAAAATGTAACTATTTATGTTGAAGTAGTGTACCGAATTTAAACTTAGTATCTTATCAATTACTCGAATTATTAAAAAAAATCAGTTTTAAATTTCAAACTTTGTCGCCCTGTATATCGAACATGAAGCTCTAAATTGAAAAATGGTATTATGAAAGTCTTATAGTTTTAACTCAAGGAATATATGGTTAACGGATTGACCTCCTTTTCCCGGACACCCTGTATATAAATACTTTTTTGCTACATACATACCTACATCCTGTATAATTCTTGTTTACATAAATTCATGTTGTATATTATTCACAAACTATGGTAGCAACTAAAAAACTTATAAAATATATATTTTTACTATTTTAAAATACATTTGATGATTTCTGAAATACATTTAATGCCTTCTAAAATACATTTAACAAATTCTAAATTACATTCAGGCCAATTCACTAACATGAGTTGTTAACTTTAGCCACTAGATCAGTGGTTATCGGCCAATCCGGCCAATCAGGTTAATTAAATATAAGGATAACCACTAATCTTAGTGGCTAACGTTAACAACTTGTTAGTGAATTGGCCCGATTGTTGTTTTCTGAAATGCATTTGACTATTCTGAAATACATTTAATGTTTTCTATATTAAATTTAACTATTCTAAAATACATTTAATGCTTTCTGAAATACATTTGACTATTCTGAAATATATTTCAAAATAAATTTGACTATTTTGAAATACGTTTAACGCTTTTTGAAATACACTTGTCACTTTCTGAAATAAATTTGAAGCTTTCTGAAATACAACTGGAAAAGGTGTAGTCTCTACAGTATGACGATAGTGTAATAACGGTAGATCTGGCAGCACTAAATTAAGATTATGTTAATTTGTGCTGCATGAATTCACCCTTGAATTCACCATAAAGTTTGATAAATTAGTAATATGGATAGGTTTTTACCAACATTTTTATTACTTTTGACCCTTGACTTGCTATAAAACTCGACCTTTAATCTGTGCTCTTACCTGAATGAGGCATATATGAATTGTAGGGGCTATTAGATAAAATTGATGAACCAGCCGGTCTAGGGGGTAAAACCGGGGCACTTCTAGTTCCCATTGTCAGTCCAGTATTACTGTTTCTTAGCACTTGAGAAGAGTTCTGCAAGTTTTGCATTTCCCAAGATCGTAATGGAGACGTCATTTTATTTGCTTCACTTTCACATAACAAAATAGCACGAATTAAGTTTTATCCGTACATACACATATGTCCATCTTACAATGAGACAAAAGCATATGATAAAGTTATATCTTTACAAACCAAAGTAAAAACCACAAAACGCACAAACTATTTTTGAGAAGAAACACAAACACCTATAGGCACAAACATGACGTGTTGTCACAGATTATAAAGGTTGTCAACATTGTCTAGACCAGTGTTGCCAACCTTTGAGAATTAAATTTCCCACAAAGAGGGTAAAAATTTCCCTTTTTTACGAAAATTTTCCCACGAATTTTAAAAATGATAAAGTTTATTTTGGCATGGGTATTTTTTGTTTTCAGAAGAAAAATACAATATTTTGAGAAACGGAGAAATTTAAATTAAAAAAATTGCAGGCTTAAGCTGGATTTATAGTTTTAAAGGTAACGGTAGAGGCAGCGGTAAAGGTAGAGGTAAAGGTAGCGGTAGCGGTAGCCGAGTTCGGCATTGAATATTGTACGAAACAATTTATAGTTGTCAGAGGTAGCGGTAAGAGAGGTAGAGGCAAGAAGGTAGCGGCAAGAGATGACCATCTTTCAACTTTTCTTACCTCAACCGCTACTCCAGCCAATCACACGGCAGTTTTCAGTTGGCAGCCTCGCCTTGTAAGTTTAGTTTTTATGCGAGGGGCAACCAGACTTGATAATTTGTCAAAAATGGTCACCGTCATTTGTGTATTTAAAGAACTACTCTTTATCGGTCAATTTTATTATACAGGGTGAGTCGGGAGGAACGGACCAAACTTCAGGAGTGTATTATACACATGAAAATAATGTAAAAAAACTCATATGTTCTTATCCGATTTTTATTTGTTTTCAAATTATAGCACAAAACAAAAGTTCATACATTAACGTTATTTTTATCATAGCGTTCTTTTAATAAATGTTTGAAAATATAGCCATTGACCTCTAAACATTTTCTGCATCGTCTACGAAGAGTGCCTGTTGCTCTCCTAATTGATTGACGTCTGTCTTCTTTAATAACGGCTGCAGTATTTTGAATACGTCGAATTAGGGAATCACGTGTGTCCACTTTTACTTTATAAACCTCATTTTTAAACCAGCCCCATAAACAATAGTCTAGTGGTGTGAGGTCTGGGGATCTTGGAGGCCAATTAATAGGACCACAACGCCCTGGAAATCTTTCGTCCAAATGTTGCTTAACGTGACGGGCGAAATGTGCAGGAGCTTCATCGTGCTAGTAGTGGTGGTCCTATTAATTGGCCTCCAAGATCCCCAGACCTCACACCACTAGACTATTGTTTATGGGGCTGGTTTAAAAATGAGGTTTATAAAGTAAAAGTGGACACTCGTGATGCCCTAATTCGACGTATTCAAAACACTGCAGCCGTTATTAAAGAAGACAGACGTCAATCAATTAGGAGAGCAACAGGCACTCTTCGTAGACGAAGCAGAAAATGTTTAGAGGCCAATGGCTATATTTTCGAACATTTATTAAAAGAACGCTATGTTTTAAATAACGTTAATGCATTACATGTATGAACTTTTGTTTTGCGCTATAATTTGAAAACAAACAAAAATCGGATAAGAACATATGAGTTTTTTTTACATTATTTTCATGTGTATAATACACTCCTGAAGTTTGGTCCGTTCCTCCTGACTCACCCTGTATTTTAATACTGGAAATGGCGTTTCTTAGCTCGTTCCCGATTTAATTCCCTCGTTTTATAGCGACGTACTTGACGACCCCCGTAACGTACTTGAAACCCTGCAATACAACATAATATATTAATATAATTGTATAATAAATTGTGTTGCAGGGTTTATTATATAATATTTCGCACAACGCCATATGGCCCAGAAGCACAGCATTGTCCTCGCAATTCATGTTTTCAAAGAAAACTTAACCTTTTGCTATTAAATTTTAGAAACAAAATTACAATCTGCATTAAAGTACGCATGCGCCGTCAGTACCGCTACCGCTACTTTCTGAACTATAAATTGCAGAAAGTGATACCGCTACCGCTACCTTTACCTCTACCTTTACCGCTGCCTCTACCGTTACCTTTAAATCCAGCTTTATGATCTGCGATCGGACCCCTGCGACAATTATTGTAGACCCGGCTTTATAGGTTATAGCCTATAACTTATAGGCTTGAACATAATGGTACGGCGCACAGTGGTCGGAAATCCCAAAAAGCTGGCCAAAACTCGAAAAGGTTGTAATTTTGCGTGAAATTTTCTTATACAAGGGTTTTTGGGGTCGCTGATTACGAATTTTATGTTAGTTTTTAAAAAACAAAATGGCGGATACAAAATGGCGGAGTTGTTTCATGACTTTTGATTTGTTTCAAACGAAAATAATAGTTCGGGGGTTTTTTCGGTCGCTGATTACGAATCTGATGTTAGTTTAAAAAAAAACAAAATGGCGGAATGATTTCATTTCAGCAAAAATACTAATTTGGGGGTTCTCGTAATTGCTGATTACGAATTTAATATTAGTTTTTTAAACAACAAAATGGCGGATACAAAATGGCGGAGTTGTTTCATGATTTTTATTAAATAAAAAAGTAGGTCAGGGGTTTTTTGGGGGTTAAAAGGGTTTCTAAGAAAAAAATCATAAAAGAAAAGCGGCAAACATACGGTATCCATGAAACAAATTTTATTAACATTAATAAATAAAATAAAATAAAAACCCATCTTCATGTTTAAATTTAAAACTGAAAGTAAATCATGAATACATTTTGAAAAATCGTTAATACATTCGTTCAAGATTTTAATAAAGGACTTAAAAATAACCCGAACATGCATTGAAAATCGTCACCATTGATGAGGATCAAATGATGTTTAAAATGAACACCCAGTATATACTATTTCGATAAAGAAACCACCGGTTCTCTATTGTTACGTCCAGCGAGCTCGGTATTTTGACGCTCGCAAGCTTTACTTCCTCCTGCGCTATTGCAATAAATAATTTTTTTCACTAAAAGGTGGACAAAGGTGGAAGTTACGTCTGCGTCATTTAATTGTTTATACTTTTTTACACATGAAACAGTTTGCAACTGTTCCGGATCTCGCCGGATCACTACTATTTCGTTACATTTATTCATGCTCCGTATGGAAATACAGAAATTTAAACATGTCAAATTTAAAGGTTTTGCCGCAAATTAATAAAATTAAAAAACTCATGATGAAACATTTGTTAATAATGTACATACCTTCAGGAACATTATCCATTTTTTCCGATCTCTCCACAACACTTTTACACGTTAAAATTCCGTTTCTTGCCGCGATGCATAAAAGTGAATAAACGCCAGAGTGACAGGTGTTCGTTAAAAGGGCGAACTTTGAAAGAAAACCTACAGTCTAAAAGGCGATCTTATGCTTTGTCCCTTTGGATTTTACTACACTAACACCATCTATTCGAGATTTTGTTAAGATTTAGCCTGAAAGGTAAATTTTGATTTTTGGGTTTTGGCCAGCTTTTTGGGATTTCTAACCATTGTGCGGCGTTCGACGGCGTCAAATGTCAAACCAAAGTTGAAACCATGGAGCCTATACAAGGAGCCCGAACTTCATGTAAACAAGAATCTTCCTAAGATAAGAGGGCGCTGGTGTACTACCGGCCCAAAACAGTAGAGGGGTATAACCAGAGATGGCGCCACTACCTACCACTTATTATTGTGGAAATAATTGAGGTTATGCAACTGTCAGTTTATCGCTTTCTGAAAACAATGTACCCATGTACTTGGTTTTGTGTATAAAGGTCATCTATGATAAAGGTCTTAATTTACAATAAATTTATATCAAATTTAACATTGGAATTCATGTACAGTTTTTTATAAATACGTGTTTTTTTCTATAAAAGAATGTCGTGTGATGCTAAATCGTGTAAAACTAACAGAATATTAAATCCATATGGTATTTATTTTTAGTTTTATAGGTAGATGGCTTAAATAAAAGTTCAATATAAACAAATAAAGGTGGAAATTATTAAATATGCTGTTTACTCATTTTATACATACTTTTTTTTTAAATTAAATTTAAATTATTAAATAGCGGTGTATTTCTAACCTGGAAATCTAATTTTGCTTCTCCAGAGTCGTAAAATCACTTCACAGATTATAAAAAATCACTTATATTTCACAACCAAAACCTATTTATTATACATCTACCTACCAGGTACAGCCATAAATAACAAAACGATTCGTACGTCAAAACATTATTGCAAATCAATTGACAAAACTTACTTGCTTACTTCACATGTATTTTTGATACTATTTTCACGTCATACGGACGCATTGACAAACAGCGCCGCTGGTGGTGAAAAAAAAAAGACTTAATTTGTGCAATTTAGTGGACAGGTTTTGTCAATTTTCCCTTTTAAGTTCGGGCTCCTTGTGTAGGCTCCATGGTTGAAACAATGCAAATGCATGAACGCCATGTGATGCTACAGTTGGCTAAAGCGTGAAACACAATGGGACGGCGTCAAACGCAACGCAATCGCGACGCAACGTTTTGAAATTGTGCATTGAACGCCGCTAACTTAGCGGCGCTAAATGATATTTATTTGACAGTAAATCTGACAGATGGGCAGGCTTATGTTCTGTGTGGGCAGGGTTGGGTCAGTAGAAAACCTTAGGTAATTTACTTTGGTAGAAAAGGGTAGAAAACTTGTTTTCGACTTGCGTCGAAAACCTATAGGGTTTTCTACCTACGTAAATTACCTTATTCGACCTTCTCCTTCCACTTCTCTATAATTGATAAAAATTTGCCCTCATGCCAAAAATTATGTTGGGGTCCTAGACCAAACGCGGCCCTTTTTTTCCCACCATAATAATGTTAAAAAACTCCAAATAACTTCAAATTTATGGTAGGTATCTGATTTTTCACAACATTTAACAAATCATAATAAACAACAAACTTGCATAACCTCACATTTTTTGATATTTGACAGTATTCTACTTTTTTACGTTTTCTACCGTCGAAAACGTCGAAAAAGGTTTTCTACATGTCGAAAACAAAAATGTAGGTAGATACCCAACCCTGGTCACACGTCGCAGAAAGTTAATTCATCTTCAATAACGTCTTTCGCAGGCTATTATGTTAGCCAATCATAGAAATAGATAGAAATTACATTTTTATTATAATTTCAAAATTGAATGCATATTTTCTTTA